TTGTTTATAAACATATGGTAGTATTTATGATAACTTACATTATTTATTGTCGTATACCGTAGTAAATCTTCCCATTGCAAGGTGTAGTATTTATGATAACTTACATTATTTATTGTCGTATACCGTAGTAAATCTTCCCATTGCAAGGTCTGTTTCCTCTTCCAGGAAATAGCCCTGGGATATCATTTGAAGTTTTTATTGCATGTCTTCATGGCGGGAAAGGCCTCAAATATCCAAATCTACAAACAATATAATAACAAACATTAGTAATGTTAAATAATTACTTATAATTTGGAAACATCATATAAAAATTCTTACCTTAAAGGCCCAAATAAAGCCTGTCAAAGTGTATTTGGAACCATCGCCATGCAAACTTTTTCGATCATCCAATGCAGACAATAACTTTCCATGTAGCTTTCCATAAATACGAGCCCCACGGAAACAGGTTCCACGCATTTAGGTCTTCTACCAATTGATTAGATCATTTGGAATAGGTTGTCTGGCCTCTCTGCCTAAAAAGCCGGTATGCAAAAGAATTAGAAGGCATACTCGGACAACGTCGACGTAATCCATCCGAGTAAAAATCTTTATTATTCAACAATCTTGTCAGGTCTTCTACGTGTAGACTCGCCTCTCCAGCTCAGGAAAAACCGGGATAGCCATGATGGGCGGGTAATGTGTCTAGTGTAACCGACCTACATCATCGGTCCGAAGCGTAGACCGATGATTAAGCAAAACTCCAGCCCAAAACACGTATACGCCGGTGGAAAATCAAACCATATCTCTTCATCACGATGTTGTATAGTCTCTGGTAGATCGCTAGTCATGGTTTGAAGAAACAGGTGTGTCAACATCGCATCTCCACCGGGATGTTGTACTTTCAGCCATGGCCGAAGCATGTATCCTCAACATTTTTCTTTGTGCAGGTGAAAGCTCGACGCAATTGTTTTGGCCAGGCTGACTTTATTTCTCAAGGTCAATTGAGCCGAATAAAAGTTCTACAAAAACAATAAACATACTAAATTAGATATACCAAAAACTACACTGTGAAGATATACCAAAAACAATAAAAACATAAAGAGTTAGTTTTCTTCAAACTTAAATTTACAACACTGTGAATTTCGTATTTGTCTTTGTTTTTGGTTGAAGTAATGCAATTCATTCAAGTTTCAATTTGCAGAAGAAGAATAGTTTCTGAAAATGAAAATCGCAACACGAAAATGACTATCGCAACGTGAATTTGACTATCGCAACGCGAAACTAAAATCGCGTTGCGATTTGCATTTCGCGTTGCGATTCTCGGTTGATTTAATAAGCAATCTAAGTGAAATGGTTAATCTATTATTGAAATTACCAGTAAACTTATCATCAATTTCAATATGAAAAACCTAATAATAATGCAAAAATTTCAAAAAGAAAATAATTAAAAAAACTAACCCTCGTTGGTTGATTTTGCCGGAGATGGGGACGGATTTCGTCGGAGATGGGTGAGAGAGTGAGAGATGGAGATGGGACTGAGTTGTGATTTTAGGTTTTAGGTTATGAGTTGCGATTACGGGATATACTGTGGACGGTTCAGTGTTCCAATATATTAATATTCGTGTTTGGAATTTAAAAATAAAATACTTGGCCAGGATACTAATGGCGCTTTGAAAATCGCATTGCGATTATGTATTATCGCGTTGCGAAAGTCAGAATCGCGTTGCGAAAGTCAGTATCGCGTTGCGAAAGTAAGTATCTCGTTGCGATTTTGTATTATCGCATTGCGATAGTCAGTATCACATTGCGATTTACTTATTCGCATTACGATTTTCCCAATTCGCGTTGCGATTTACTTATTCGCATTGCGAATTGGGAAAATCGCAACGACACTGTAGACCATCGCAACGCGATTTTCAACTATCGCATTGCGAAAATGCAACGCGAATTTGCGATAATGGAGATCGCGTTGCGAATTAGCGATCGCATTGCGATTTTGTTGTCATTTTGGCAAATCCGGAAAAAGTTGGTTAAAATCGTATATTATATGAGATTTTTGGTCACTGAGGTTATTTTCTCAAATTCTATAATCTGGCAGTTTGCACTACATTCAAACAAATATTGTTCTGTATTAATTAATATACTAAAAAATTATTATGTTTGCACTAATGAAAACTAGACTCGAATATAAATCTAACCATATAAGACACTCCATCTAGTTCCACTTGTACAATTTATAACGAAATTTCAAAGTTGACTGATAGAATTTCGACAAAATCTGCTGCCCTGTTTTCTGACATATCACCGATTAAAAATTCATATCTTTTTGTATACACCTCAAAATTAGTCACCGTCTATTTTAAACAAATATGGACTATTATACTAATCTAACGATATGTAGATCATCCATTAATCAATTTTGCATAATTTATGATGAATTTCTAAACTCGCTATTCGAATTCTAAATTTTAGACAACTTTCCTTAATTAGCATCCTTAGCTTAATTTCATAATTATGTCAGATTAATATTTGAACCTTTAGGCTAGAGTCACAATTCACATAACATTAGGAGACACTTCTTACTGTAGTAACTTCGTCACTGGCTTATCGCAAGCCAATGTTTGTACGATAACACAAACATGAATTAAATGCACTCACCTTTGCCTTCCTGTCGAATCTCCTCTTCGATAATCTTCTCGATCCCATAATTTTTCCTTCCCTTCAAGCTATTTGAATCACTAAATTTACCTTGGATTGACAACGTCATATAATAACATAAAATTTCAAACTATATGTTAGTATCAAAACTAACATAATCTAAACGAAATCATAAAATTCGATAGAAATAACATCGATACTTGAATCGATATAAAATTAAATCACACTTCCTTCTTAATTTCAAACTTCTCAAAATGTTATTCAATCCCATGAATATTTATTTACACTATCAACCCTTCAACTTTTGCCAACTACACAATCAAACCACTAATTATGAATTCTTTCTATAATTCACCTTAACTTTTATATTAACTTCATAATGATCTTTCACCATTATGATTATTTCACATTAATAACATAAAATTTCCACCACCTCCATAAAGTATTCAAATCAATACTTAAACATTCAAAAGTTTGCAAATTCATCCTATACTTTCTTAAACTTTGTCAATTCAACTTCTAATCTTTGTAAACTTGTAATTTGATTCAAACTTAATAATTAACCAAAAATTTCAGCAAGCTTCCAGAATTTCCAGAATTGTCCTAATTTACCCAAATGATACTTCTACATTTATTAACTTACAAACAAGTCCCCATTTCTTAGGACCTTTCTAATTCCAACCCAAACTCTTACCAAATTTTCAATTTGGTTCCAAATAACTTTCCAACATCTAAATACTAAATATTATCATTGAATACTCCAAATCTCACATTTATACAATAATTTCCAAAAATCCTTAAAACTTGTAAACTAGCCCTTTTTCACTTTCAAGGTTCCAAATTGATCCAAATTGATCTCCAAGTCACTTATAACACTTCTAATATCAATTCTAAACCATAGAGAATTTTTCTAATATTTTTCCCTAAATTTTCTCCAATTGCCCGAATATTAGTAAGTACTTGGGGTGAACTTTTTCATTCAATTTCAAGCATGAATTCAACTTCCTTATATTAAATCCATGCTATTCTAACCATAACAACATCAAATCACATCAAGATCCCAACATTTCCATAAACCCTAATTAGGCCAAAGCATGTACACATCAAAATAATCATCATACATTCCCTAGAATTAATCTCCAACATTAAAAACATAAAAATCCTTAATCAATTCTTCAAAACCACAAAACCTTACATAAACTCTAACTTTCAATCTCAACATATAAGCATCTTCACCATGAAATATTAGTACAAAATTATATGTAGAACATTTTTCTTTTTCACAACTTTTTCCAAAATCTTCTTAAAATAGCTCAAAAAATGAAAATAATTTAAAATTTTCACTTATCCAAAAAAAAAAAGAATTATAAAATTTTCTAGACATTTTCTAATACACATGGTAATTTAACCAATTTAATTGAATTTAAAATTCAATTCTTGAGAATTTTCATTTTTACCATTAATGAAATCTTAAAATTTACCAAATGTCATTTCCATATTCTCCATTAAAATATTCTTTGGTTAAAGATGAATCAACTTGACTTTGACTTTCTAATTTGGCCGTGCAATTTTTGAAAATCTCATTTTAGTCACTAAAATTCCACTATTCAGTTAAATCTGAAAAATTACATTGTTATGAGCCTAATTTCTCTTATCTAAAATATGAAAATAGTATTTCCAACAATTTTCTAACATCCTTCAAATTTTTGAAAAATTTCGGTTCGATCTGATTATTCGATTTTAATACCGAACTTTATCGCTTTACAACTTTTAACACAAATCCCATACCAAAAATCTGATTCCCACAAAAATCCTAGTTTTAATCCAAACTGTTCATTTACAAGCTAAAATCTATAACTTTTCAGTCCCTAAACTTTTAAAACTTTATACTTTAACCAGTAAACTTTCAAAAATTTCATTTTAGTCACTAATCAAAATATGGGGTATTACATTAAGTAAGGGTTCTTGACGGGCTGAGAAAGTTTATAAGTATGATCAGCATATTACTTGTTCGCTGAAAAAGGGGATGTGTATTATTTCTTTTCGATTGTTTATGGTTGTAATGACAATGATGAGAGATATCAGTTATGAGGTGATTTGATCAATGCAAAGTCTGTTGTTGGGGGTGAATCTTTGGGTTCTTGCTATAAATTTTAACATCATTCGCTGTCCTCGGGAAAGCTCTGGTTATGATGGTAGTCAAGGTGTAACATCATCCTTACATTAGTGCGTTGTTTACTTGATATAATAAAAGAGAGAATGCTCCTTTATTTCTCAAGCTGGATCGAATTTTGGTCAACCAGAATTGTGTTTTAGCGTAATGCAGGCAACAACAAAACCAGTAATAATTGAAAAACTAAAAGGAATACTAATTAATGGACTTTCCTACCCAAGGAATTAAAAGAAAGAATTGTTCATAGGATAATAATAGCAAAACTATACAACCAAAAGTAGTCCTTATTCTTCCACAGTCCACTCTTTTTTTCTTCCCTCTTATGTTTCAAAAGATAAATTTATGTACCTTATTGGTTGCCTCTACTCGCCACACCAAACCACATGTGACGATGAGCGAAAATAAAAGAAAAAGTTGTCCAATTCTTTGCAATGCAGCTTCCACTTCAGTCGAATCAAAAAATAAAGCACAACTTTTATTAACGGATCGTGCTTTGTGGTGGCAAGATTGATCAGTTTTGGTCCAAACATAGGTCTTCAGAACCTCCTCCAATCGAGAGTCGTGGAAGTCTTCCTGAAGTATCCTCGGGATTAGTAGACTCTTCTCTTATTGTAATATGCCGAAAAGAACTTGCTAGTACTTCAGAACTTGATATGCCCGGAGACATTGATCCTAATGTTGTTGAAACTCGATAAGGTATCCATTTACTCCAATCATTGCACCTCCTCACTTTATCATCCTAGAAATATTTCAGTAACAGTCAAACTAACATGAAAAAAAGGGATTTCCCCAACAAAAAAATGGAACTTAGTCAAGGCATCTCTTTTTAAAGATAATTGCTATGTTGGATTTACTTGTACTTCCACAATAGTTGAGCTCCGTAACGAATCCACTATCAGCTGAATGTTGCTTGTTAAACTCTTAACCTGCAAAATAATCACCATAAAACAAACTTGATTAGAAAAGCAAATAATTGGGACTACAAAGTTTACAGAAAAGACCTAGGCATGGATCATAATAGTTGCTATGTTCCTTGATATAAAGAATCTTTGTCCAATTACACAAAATGTAAAACTCATGTCTACAATTTCAAGCTAGTATGGAATCACTTCTTCATTACAATGGCAATATCTATCCACATACATGCGCTAATGCATGTCGGGTGCCAATCTAAAGAAAGATAGCTAATTCCTAAAAATCCAATGCCCAAACAAAGAGTCAATATCTAATAGATGCCACATAACAACAATAAAAAGGTTATATAATTAGCTAAGGATGAAAGGACAACCTGCAATAGGAGAGCAATATTAGATAATCCCACATTGCCAAATAGGAAATTCAACAACTAATGATAGCAGCAAGGGACGGTTAAAAGAGACAATATGGCATAAATCAACATATGTCGGGAAAAGAAAGGTAAAGGGAATTATTATCAACTTATTCTCACTATTATGTATTAGTCCCACAAACTTTTTTGACCCATCTCGATGCCCAAACTTTTCAACCTAAAGCTTTACCTGACTTCATTTTTAACTTAAAACCTACCACCTCTCCATCTTCAACTGATCGAATGGTGCCCCGTAACCCATAGACTCATTCAATTCTGCACAACCAACAGTCTTTTATTTATAAAAGGCAGAAATCAGAAAAATTTTAACCCTGCAGAATCATTAGCATACTCCTATAGTAATGACAAATTAAACTAGACTCCAATAAAGAAGCTAAAATAATCTCAACAAAGCATAACCAGAATAGAGCCTCCTTTCCAATGACCTTTTTTGCCTGCATGCAGTAAGTAGGAAAAAGAGCATACAAATACTAATACTACGTGAAGAAGTATAAAAAACTACTCTATCAAACAAAAATGGCTTACTCTAGGAAATCCTGCTATTAAAGAAATGGCTACCCAACCCTGATCATCCATATTAGATTTCAGAAAGTCATCTTTCACCAAATTATCATCACTGCACAAAAGAAAGATTATTAAAATGCAAAGCCAGCTTACTGTTACAAAACTAATTTTCAAACATAAATTGTTGTAAACAAATTGTCACCAAAAATTAGTTGCAACGTGGATATACCTGAAATAATAATCAATTTGGTGTAGTAATAATGCCGGCAAAGGAGGATCTGGAACAGACACAAACATCGGAGGCGGGGCAGGGGTAAATGCTGGCATGCCCCTAAATGGGGCCATAGTGAAATACATAGCCTCTGAGAGCAGAGAAAAATTAGTACCACACCAACATAATAGAAATACCCAAGATCTTAAAATTTGAATATACCAGGGTATCCTCCTATGGGATTCATAAATGAGGCCACAGGGTGTGGAGTAACAAAAGAATGAACTGCTGGAGACGAAAGCGAAGGTCTTGGAAATCCCCTTTGGGGAGCTCTCAAAGGTTGCATATGACCATCTCTTGCATTCCCATAATTCCCACGATCCGGATCACGCCTCCCCCAATTATTATAGCCATCTCCACGTGGTCCATAGTTGCCTCCCCTTCGGGAAGAATGCCGGTCATTGTGAGACTGCGATGCAAAGCCTCCAACCGGTCTGGTTTCCCAACTATTACCCCTGTACTGAGGGTCTCTCGTAGAATTATATGGCATTGCTGGAACAAAATTAGTTGGGGGGATTTGTGACACAGTAAATGGCGGCAGCGGCGGTGGTGGAGGTGGGAGTTGGTGAGAATAACCTCCCTGGGGATGCCCACTAGCAGAGCTATTGCCACTGCGCTTAGAAGATTTCTGCCGATTTACCATTGAGCGGTTTGGCGTTGATTTCGGGTTAGCAGAACCAGCACCTTCTTTATGAGTTGATTGGGGTACCACTGGACCCTGTTATTACCACAACATTCAGTCAGTTTGTTTTTATTTATTTAGAATATATTCTACATTTGGTTGCTTAACCTAAAACAAAAATGTAAGAAAAGAGAATCCTATTTTCCGGATTATGTTAAATTCAGAATGTAAATTAATAGAGGAACATAAAACGAGATAGATGAAAACCGGAGGAGTAGAAAGAGATCTGTCGGCCGGAGTCTTTGGAGGAGAATCAGTTAATGATTTTTTGAAACCCTTAGCGGATTTAGTTAAAGCAGGCCACCCATCTTCCTTTTCAGAATCCGCCCCAATGGAGACAACGTTTGAAGGATTGTTCCAAACCGATTTCTTGGGGCTTGAAGGAGCAATATTATTGCAATCAGAATCAGAACCAACTTCGGTGGCGACTAAAGAAATACCTGCCACTTGCGAAGGAGAGCAGTCGGAAAAACTTGATTGCTCAGGCAGGGAAGCAACAACTTGAGCCCAAGGCTGTTTACGTAAATTATTGTGACGGAACTGAGGATTATTGAGACCTTTGTGTGGGGAGGAAGAATCTGCTGTCATAGCCATTCCAAAAATTCAGAATTTTTTTTGAACTTCAAATCAAAATTTTGCAGAAGAAAAAATCAATGTCTACAATAGAAGACATTAATGTTTAAATAGAGAAAAGGGGAAAATGTAGAGATTGAAAAGACGGATCTAACATGTGAAACGCACGAGAGAACCGCCGTACACACACACACACCAAGGAGGAACCGAAGCCCGGCGTTGTGCTTCTTAGGTTTCTTCTTCTTTTCTTCCTTTTATATTTACTTTTTATTTTTAATTATATTAATTGATCTCTCTATGTGTTTTCCATTTCCTTTTGGGCTTTTGTTTTCCCGAGTTTGACACATCTCTAAATTAACAAAAAAACACTACCTCTGCTTCCGCACGACACCGTTTACCTTTCCTATTATTATCATTCCCCTTACTATCATCTCTTTTTCTTATTTTTTCGATTTTTAAATAAATATGAATGTTAATTTCAAAAACTTTAAAATAAAATAAGGTAATATATATAAATAGTCTCTAAATTTTTAAGACTCTTATATTTTGATCATCCAACTTTAAAATTTAACTCCCATTATTTCTGTTAATTTTTACTGGCGTGACACTTATTAGGTTTCCTTCTCCTTCTTCTTCTTCTTACTAAACCATCAACTTATTCTCCTCCACCCAAAGCAGTGAAGCACCACCCAAGCCACCAACTTATCCTCCTCCACCCAAGACACTCAAACATATAACGAGAAAGGTAGGTCTCTCACAACACAAGATGCTGGTCCGAAAAGCCACAAAACTCCGACGCCTCCGCGGTGTGTTGTTTGATTCATCCATTATCGGTGTGGTAAGTACTTCATCCTCTAATAATCAATTACTTCAACCCCACTGAAGTTCAAATCTGAAGTGTTAATCCATTATTTTCAAATCCTTTCTTTTTTGTTCTGCTTGTAGGGAGAGGTTTGTAAAGCTGTGATATGCTTAGAAATTGCTGCGCCAAGGTAAGGTGTTTCATCTTTTTTTCTTAATGTATTATAAAGTTTTGGATTATGGTTCTTTTTTAATGTGTAATTACTATGGATTTTTTAGGTTTTGGGAGGTTATATTTGATAGGCAAAAGGCTGTCAACTTAAGTGGAATATTAGAAAAGGCTTCACTAGAGTTGTTTTTAATTCCTCACAGGACGGTCTAACTATCTAGTGGGTTTCTCCTACTTTTCCTTGTTTCTTCCTTGCATTGTAAAACCAAGTTATACCTTAACTCAGATTGACTGGTTTGGAAAAAATTTGGTGTTTCAGAACAACACTGGATATTAGAGAATTTGGGATTCAATTTGGATGCGTTCGGCTCATCACTTTTGTGAAAAAAGGTTTATCTCTGTAAGATCATTTTCCATCTCAAATATTCTTTGATTTTTCATTTATTAAGTTATGTTTCTTTATCATTCATATGTTTGAAATAATGTCAGAAGGATTAAATCCCAAAATTAGATGATCTTTTTTGTACTCATAATTGTTAGGTTTACAAATCTAAGACAGTTTTCATTTGATCATCGGATGAAACCTTACGTTTTTATCTTTACCATTCTTTGAACTGTTTGGGTGGAGGAGGATAAGTTGGTGGCATGGGTGGTGCTTTGGGTGAAGGAGCATAAGTTAGTTGCTTGGGTGGTGCTTTGGGCGGAGGAGTATAAGTTGGTGGTTTAAGGAGGAGAAGAAGGGGAGTTAATAGTATTAAGTGTCACGTCAGTAAAAATTAATGATAAGTAACTATAGGAATAAAATGAAAATGAACTAAAAGTTTGATGATTTTATTATAAGTTTCAAAAGTTGAGTGACCAAAATGTAAGATCTCTAAAAGTTTAGGGACTATTTATATACTTTACCAAATAAAATATTTATATTTTGCTTCCACTTCTGATGGCGCGTTTGATAAGCTTAAGTGTTTGGCCAATGATTATGTTTTATCTTCAATTATTAATTATTCTAGCCTAATTTTAAGAGTTTATCTTTAAAGATAATATAAATCTTTTAAAGGATTTTTTAATAAGATAGAACCGTTAATTTTCTTAAAAATAAAAAAAATCCAATTACAATAAAAATTTATAATAACAACCGTAAACTAAAATGCATAATAAGAACTTTTTTTTATGATTATTAACAAAAGAAACTAGTTACTTAAGATCATATAATAATCCTATAAAGAAAATGTTAAAAACATAATCAAATAAACTCGAATAAAAGAAAGATACAAATAAATCTGTATGCATTGACAAACGAGTCACAAAAGGGATTAAGATATTGAAATACCACGAACAAATCACATATCATAATCAAATGATTTGAAAAAACTACCAACGAACAAAAAATAACATATTCAAACTTAATTCGACGATCCAAAGCTTAGAAGATCACGATGATAACAAATGAGCTCCATCTTGATCAGTCTTAGCGATGTCAAATTCAACCTTAAGAAAAATGATAAACGAAAATAACAACCAAATGATCGAAAATGTGCCAAAAGACATAAAAAAACGTGTCATAAAAGTAAACGAGTTTCAATAAAAATATATATATTTATGAACTCTTCATTGTCTGAGACTAGTTTCAAATCATTGTAGTTGTTCCTTGAGATCTCGACTCCGAGCACTACGAATGTTAGTGGTATGAGTGTTCAATGTCAAATGATGAAGAGTTATCTATGAACATATATTGTCTTGTATTTATTTTAGATTAATAAAAAAATATAATTTCTCATTTTATATTCAAGAGATTATTTAAAACCCACATTATAATTGTATAAAAATATAATTATTATTCTAATAGCTGTATGCAAATATAATTATAAAAAAATAATTTTTTAGATATATACATTTAACATAATGTAATTGCACTTTAATTTCTCATGTTCTATTTAATAATATAAATTGTAATTGTATAGTTAAATTTTTTTAAAATTTTTAAAATATTAATTAAAAAATTAAAAAATACAATTACGTATAATTTATCATATGTTTAAAAATATATTATTATCCCTCTTAACGATATTATTTAAAATTTAAATTTAAATTTTATAATTATAAATATTATCTGATTTATCATCATATCTAACCCTTATTTGATGAATCATATTTTTTTCTTTGTATTATTTAATGTTCTAATGTGAATTTTGAGTTATTTGATTTAAAATTTAAGTCTTTAGAGTTTAAATATTAGAGAAAGTTTAGATCAGGCAGTTGGCACTATTTCCTGGCAACAAGCTTTTCCTTCTATAACTGTGTTTCACTTGGCTTCAACAGCTTCCGATCACTGCCCACTATTCGTTGATTCGTTGGGGGTTGTTCATTCCAGGTAGAATGGTCAGCCAACTACGCTCTTTCTCTATGACGCCGATAATGCAAGCGAAAAGGAATTTGTGCAGCTGGTTCACACTACTTGGGCATCATCTATTGAATCGTTGCCCGCCCGACTTGGACGTTTGGGTGAGTCGCTTGGTATATAGAGTAGGTTTCTCAATTATGAGAAAGTTTAGACCAAGCGGTTCTTGACTTGCCGTCTTGCTATACTTCACATTTTACCAGTGTCGGACATTGTCTTGGCTGATATTAACCACTGTCGTTTGAAGCTAAACAAATTCTGGGAGGAGGAGGAGGTTTTCTGGGGTCAGCCGTCAGCGGGGCCGCGTGAATTGGCTACGTTTGGGAGACAAAAATACTGCATATTTTCATGCTTCTGCTTCGATCCGTCGACGTAGTAACACCATCTCAAGTATCACCGACTCAGGTGGCCATTCAGTGGTTGACCAAGCTGAGTTATTGCAGTGTTTTCATGGATATTTTAGTGACTTGTTTGGTGGGGTTTCTCTGGCTGATTGTCAACCTGTGCTAAATGGCATTCACCCGTGCATAACTACTTTCCAGAACACTGCTCTTCTGCTACCATTTACGGCGGGTGAAATGAAGACATCAGTGTTTAAAATACCTCCTCTCAAGGCTCCGGGGCTCGGCGTATTTCATGCCTCATTTTATCAGACTTTTTGGGATACGGTGGGGGTTGAGGTGATTATTTTCTGTCTTCAAGTCTTGAACGAGCGTGATCCGATGTCGTCCATTAATAAGACGATAATTGCGTTGATCCCAAAGTCTTCGGATGCCAAATTCGTACAAGATTATCGGTCGATCAGCTTGTGCAATGTCCTTTATAAAGTTATGGCTCGAATGATAGTCAACCGGTTCAAACATGTGTTGGGTGCTTGTATCGATCCATGTCAGAGTGCATTCATACTAGGCAGATTGATTACGGATAATGCCCTTTCGGCGGCTGGGACGTTACACACTTTCCGTTGCCATCGCTCTGGTCGAGGGGGAAGATTTGAGCTAAAACTTGACATGAGTAAGGCGTGTGATCGTGTCGGATAGAATTTTTTTGAACAAGTTCTGCTTCGGTTTGGTTTTCATGCTCAATGGGTGTCCCTTGTGATGAGTTGTGTCCTTTCAGCGTGTTACCGAGTTTGTGTGAACAACCAACTTTTTGATGTTATTGTCCCAAATTGCGGCCTCCGTCAAGGCGACCCTTTTTCCCCCACTCTTGTTTCCTTTTTGTAAGGAGGGGTTGTCTTCTTTTTTGCGCCAAACTCATGTGACAGGTACATTTTTGGGTATCAGTTTATCTCAAGGGGACTTCTTCCCACCATTTGCTATTCGCTGATGTCTGCTTGATATTTGGGCGAGCACATTATGCTGATGCGGCAACGTTGTCTTCTCTTATCCAGTGTTTTGAGAACGTTTCGGGGTAAATAGTGAACTTCAGTAAGTCGATTTTTTTTTTCAGTACTAACACTCATTCTGACTGTCATGCTTTTTTGGCGAGTCATTTGGGGTTCCTGAAGCAACTGACTTTGAACATTATCTTGGATTTCCATCGATCGTGGGTATAAATAGAACGATAACTTTCAGGTTCTTAAAGCAATCGATGATGTCTCGGATCAGCCAATCTTCGGTGCATACTCTGTCAAGAGGTGGGAAGTTGGTGCTTATTGAAGCTGTGTTACAGTCTCCTCTAACATACCAAATGAGTTTGTATGCTCTCCCCGTCTTACTTTGTCGTGAGCTGAATTCTGCCATCGCAAGATTCTGGTGGCATTCTGATGCATCCCTGCAGGTGGTCCACTGGCTTGGTATGTCAAATATGTGTATTTCGAAATCAATTGGAGGTTTAC